TTCTTCTAGATCTTAAAGTTATACTATTTACTAGTATTATTATAGTAAATAGTAGTATAAACTATACTAACTATACTACCTTACCTAACTATATAGTATTATAATATAGTAGAGTATACTAAGTTATTAACTATATAGCCCTCTCTAGTAAATAAAAGATAGTTAAATAAATAAAAGACTATATAGAAGTTTATTTAGTAGTACTTTCTTCTAGATCTTAAAGTTATACTATTTACTAGTATTATTAGGGTAAATAGTAGTATAAACTATGCTATCTTACTAGCTATACTAACTATACTCTAAGTATATAGATTATACTAATTATAGGACCCTAGCTAATAGTTTTAATACTATAGGGGTCTTAAGTAATATTTAAAAAATACTAGAGGATTTAGAATACTATTCTATAGCTTCTATTAGAATATTATTAGATTTAACTATAGTTTAAGTAAGTTTTAGTGTATTTATTATTATAGGTCTGATAATTTATATATAGGGTATAATTAATTAAGTACTAACCTGGCAGCACTACTAATACTTAAATAGTATTTAAAAGATATTAAAGGGTTTAGAAATACTATTATAAAGCTGCTATTAAAGTATTATTAGATCTAACTATAGTTTAAGGATGTTTTATGGTATTTATAAGTTTTAGTAGGCTAATAATTTATATATATAGGTTAATAATTATTATATCTCTACTCCTTGCTAACAATAATCCCAACTTTACAACCATGATATAAAATCAACAAAAATAGATAAAAATAAAAGGAAAGAAGTTTTAAAAATTAGAGGCCTTATATTATTAGTAGAGAAAAAAATATTCCGCTATATTGCTGGTTTAGGTGTTGACCATTACCATGTTTTTCCTCTATAGCCTGCCAGGGCTGTACCCCGCGGGGCAGCGCACGGAGCTGCAGGTGATGGTCCTGGGCTGCCCACAGCTAGTGGGTTTCCTGGAGATGTCACTGTGCCAGGTGGCTGGGGACCACCACCGCGCACGCCTGGCAGATGATGGCGTTGTGGTCGGGGAGGTAGTCATAGAGCAGTGGTGTAGCCATGGTGGATGGGGGTTGGATTGGATGGCAGTGGTGGTGGTCAGGGGTGGCCATGCGTCCCTGAGTAAGAGTAACAGTGTGGGAGGACTGGAAAAGAGGGAAGATCAGTGCACTGAGGGCTAGCTGGCCCAGCCAGTGACCTTTTAAGGGTGAGGTGAGTCAGGGCCACCGCCATCCCCCCTTTTCGATTTTGGGGCGGTGGTCCCGGCGGCCAGGCAGAGGAAGGGAAGCATTGCTTTTTTCCCCCTTTTTCCTGGCCCTGGTCATGCCCTGATCCTGTCTGGGGATCCCGCAGGGTCGATCCCCGTCATGTCATCCAGTTGATGGGCCTGTTGGCCCCGGTCGAGGAGACACCTTGAGCGCGGCCAGGCCTGGCCTGGCATCCCAGCCGCGTTAACTGGTTGATTTGCCATCGACTCCTGATCCCAGAGTGGTCCAGGGCCTGGGACTTTTATGCCGCCCTGGGTTGAGATTTTATACCTGTCAACTAATCACTGCGGTCAATGGGCCCGGGGCACCCGCGACACAGCATGCAGATTGGCTCGTGCTGTGGCCGGCAGCTGCCATCATGGAGATCCCGTGTGGTGATTGGCTCGGGTTGCAGCCGGCTGTGGCCGCCAGTGACAGCCCAGGCAGGACGACGCCGGCGGCTGCCGTGGGTCCTGTGGATCCTGTGCTTACCGCATTTGGCCCCGGGCAAAACTGGTCGGGCAAGCCGATCCCGACGGGTGCACGCGGGTTTCGCGGCCACGCTGGCCGGGCCAGACTTGGGGACCAACATGGTTCGATCCAGCAGGACCAGACGGGTCGAATGATCCCAGGATCATCCACCGCGGACGACGGGGGCGGACGTCCAGACTGGATACAGTGGCGGGAACAGGGGGTGGCGGCCGGCCGCGGGGGGACGCCGACAGGGGGCGTGAGAGCCGTCTAGTAGGACTTTTATATATAATCCAGGGTTAATATTTATATCTATTAACTAATTACTGCTGCTGATAAGGGGCACCTGTAGTGCTATATATAGATTAGCTTATGCTGTTATTAGCTACTGCTATCATAGAGATCTGGTATAGTAACTAGTCTAGGTTCTTACCAGCCATAGCTGCTAGTGATAGCTAGAGTAGGATATTACTAGTAGCTGCCATAGGTTTAATAGATCCTGTGCTTACTATATTTAGCCCTGGGGGCTAGGATCCCTATAAGAACTATCTAATAGGGACCCTGGTGATATAGTTAGCTATGCATGGTCTAGGAGAGGGATTCTAGTAGATAAAGGGTGGCTAGGGATAATTAAGGTTGCTAGTTTATAGGGTAAACCTATCTATTTTAGCTACTAGGGTGAGGAGACTGCCCACATATAGGCCCTAATAAGATAGGATGTAGAGATATATATTACTATAGTAGTAATATATCTATATAGTAGGATTCTATACTCTAGCAGGTACTAAGTTTAGAGTAGATAATTAAGTAGGACTAGGACCAGGGAGGGGTTTATTAGATAATCCTAATAGCCTAGATACTACTACTAGCAAAGTAATATAGCCTTAGTAGGGAGTAGTACCCCTAGTAAAACTAGTTAGCAAAGCTAATCCTAATAGGTATATGCTAGTTATACTGTCCCCCTAGGGGACCTAGAATCTATAACTTACATAATTAGATGCACTATAATAAGATAAAGGGAATAATACCCAGATCATCCCTTCCAGACCCTGGGGCAGGGAGCTAGGCCTGATGCAGTTATCAGACTATGGGGGTCTAGGACCACTACAGACAGGCCTGGCAGGGATGCGCGGAGCCATCACATAGGTCCTTCTGCGCTTTTCTTCTCATTGCCCGTCGCTCTGTCCATGCTCTCTTCTGATTCAGTTTCCTTTTTGAGACTAATGTTGGTGGTTTTATTCCTTATTCACTAGCTCTTTCGGTCTTTCCTCTGCAACACTGATGTTGTCTGTTACTCACCATTCATATGCCATCTCTTATTCGATATTCAAAACGACTTTATAAATCCGTGTTCTTATTTGTTGGGCCCCTGTGTGTCTTCGCCTGCTTTTCCCTTAGTTTCATCGTATACTTATTGGACAATAAAATCATGTAGTTTTGTGTCCACTTTGATGATGAAATTAATAGAGTCCCGGGTTGGGCGAAGGAGTGGTGCAGCCACAATGGTACTTGCATATAAAGAGAGTTCAATAATCAGCAATGAACACGTAGGTAGAGTCACCTAGTTAGGTACAAAGCCTGACGATCATTTGAGTACTAGGGTCAGCAAGGCAAAAGTCAATCATCTGACAAACATTTATAAACTACTGAGGTCTCCTGGAGAAAACCATTCATTGCATGAAAAGCCAGATAAATTAACCCGCAAGTCAATAGCGTCTTATCATTCAGAAATGGAGATAAACGGCTTCTCAACTGCCTACACCTACCAATTGCCTCTGGATAAGCAATGTTGGACTTCCCTTCCACTCCGAATCAATAATCATGAGCATATTGCTACAGAAGCATCAATCAGATTCCTGGAACAATGGAAAAGAAACAAGCTGCCTGAGGTTTCTCCAGACTACTTGTACCAGCTGAGTCAATTTGGTTACGGACATCTGGTGGCGGTGCTCATACCCAACGCCCACCCAAATCGCATAGCACCTGTGACCAAGATCATTGACTTAATTTTAGCAGCAGATGGTATGATAAGATATTTTTGTTTAGTGTTATAATGGAGAGGGAAAATTAACAATTTCTGTCCAGATGTTATTGATTCTCAGGGTCCTAAAGAAGCAGTCGCTGCTGCTAGCAGTCTTTCAAGTGTTGAGGCCTCCCAAACTCCAGACCAGCGTTTAACGAAGCTATTGGCGGAAATTTCGCAAGAAATAATTCATGAAGATCCTACTCTAGGCTTTGAGCTTGTGAGTGTTATGATGAATTACTGGAAGACAATCAAAGCTTTCGGGGAGCAGCCGTATAAGATGCCCCACGTGTTTTTCGAGTTCTTCCCTTTTCGTTATTGCAATTTCGCCGCTCCGTAAGTATATTCCTGCTAAGTTTAGTGATTGTATAGTTTTGAAGTTAATCATACATGCAGGGTAGCCTTCGAAGTCCTGTCTTACGCCCTTGACGTCAAGCTCACACAAGAGGAAAGAGAAACACTGCAGTATCTGGAATTTGTCGCAAATACGGTCCAGATCCTCTGGAATGATATGTACAGTTGGCCAAAGGAACATTTGGAGTACCAGCAGAGCCATTTCATCAACCCTCCGTTGAATTCGGTTTGGGCGCTAATGAATGAACATGGATGTAACTCGGCGGAAGCACTGAAAATGAGCCGGAAGAAAGTTTTACAATATGAGGCTAAGTGTCACGAACTGACTAAACAATTTCTCAACAACTCCAAACTACCGGCCAGAGTTAGGCTAATGGCGAGTGCTTATCAGTCGGCTGCTGCAGGGACCGCTCTTTGGAGCTGTGCAAGCTTGCGCAACCAAAGCACGTCACCTGAAGTTCAGGTTTTGGCTCAAGTGGTTTCACTTCCCCTGCCATCTGTGAAAGTGGATAGTGTTTTTGATATTGAAAGCCAGACGCTTTTTGAGCAGTGTCTAGCTTTGTTGCGTCAGCATTGGAAAGACTAGGAAAATTCGAATTGTTGAAATTGTTATGGACAGTGGCGAATTCCATCTTGAAGGGTCTATGTAGAAATCGTGCCATCACCCGACTCGCAGGTGATTGTTGCGACCATTTAAATTCCTTGAAGTGGGATCCGAGTTGCTAGGCAATCACTGTGGCTAGCAACCATGTCAGGCCGCCGTTCCATAAATGTCCTTCTGCCCTTTCCACTCATGCCATTACTTGCTCAATCAAAATACAACACAATATACTCCTATCACATTCCCTCCAATTTTCAGCCCTTCCACAGTTGGTATTAGTGATATTTCATGCCTTCCTTATTGGTCTAACTTATCTTAGCAACATCACAAATTCCACTTTTTCCTTACACTTAACCTTCCTAGCTCTTGTCTTCATTGTTTGCCCTGAAATGAACAAAATGAGATGAAAGGGTTTACCTTCGTGCGCAGGCAGTACCCCTCTTGTCAAAAGCTTTATCTATAGGTGTTGCTGTTAACCAAATTCCTGCTTTTCACTTCCCAGTCACTTCTAGTTTTTTTCTTAAACAGGCAGATTTTTGAAAAATTGTGATTTACCTCCACATGTATTTCTCAAGCAACATATTAAAATTATTGCCAACGGATCTCCTGTGCAGAGTAGACTGTCTGTTGATCAGGCCAGGCAAGATGGACTCGGGTATGTAGTAGGGCAGGTGCGGAAGCAGTAAAACAGATGGATATGAAGTTTTTGAGGATTGTGACGTCCCTTTTTAAGCGTCAAAAGTACCAAGAGTTGGCACCCAATCGCCAGGATATTCCCTCAATTTAAGCTTTTCCCTGAAACTTAACTTTTTAAATGTATCATAAACCATGGATACGGATACGGCCTTGACGGAAGCAAGGCGCTAAATGAGGCTATCAATGTACCAATGCAATACCGAATCACATCCCTGCCAAGAGTTCTATAGGAGAGCCCACCCCACCCATGCAAGTTAAGTAAGGGTTCAAAACCCACATGCCAGGAAACCAAGTCTCATTGCATCAGAGCGTTGACGTGGTTGACCCAACGTCCATAGGATCAGCCGCAACAGTGCAGGTGTTTCAGTCCCAACAGTTTTGTACAACGCCTTGCATCCGACTGATTCAACCATCAAGCAACTGACCAGGGACACTGCAGCACCAAGACAGCTCCATATATCACTAGGTGTTCTCAATCGCAAGGTCCGGCCGGGGCTATCGGACCTCCAGCGTCGTCCTCGCAAATTAAGAAATCTCCCCAAATGGCCATTGAAATCTTCGTTGTCACGGTGGCAGTAGCAATACAGCTTCTAGTCTCCCCCATTCCAGAGGCTTCGACCATAAAGATCTTGCTATCATACTTTGCTGGCAACTGTGCAGTTCTTGCCTGGCAATTTCAGACAACACAAGCAGTGAAAAGTATTGCACTCAGCCTTACCAAGGTTAATTTGATATTCCTTTCGACAGTTATATCACTAACAATCGTCCGGCGTCTATACTTTTCTCCACTAGCGGCATTTCCGGGGCCCAAGTCTGCTGCTATCTCTAAGTTATGGGCAGCCAATCAATGTCGCCTCGGTCGTACAGTTCTCACTCTAAAAAGGCTACATGAACAATACGATAGTGACATTATCCGCATTGGTCCTAATGAGGTGTCTATCAACAATGTTGAAGCTGTACACACCATCTACAAAGGAAGATACCAAAGGGGCTTCTTCTACGAATTTCGCGCTTCCAATGGCGAGTTGAATCTGAATACCACTAGAGATTACGCCAAACATAGTGCCTGGAGAAAGATATGGTAAGGGTTCACAAACGATCCCACGTTCATGATGCTGATACATCTAGGGAGAGAGCCTTTTCACCCACGGAAATTCTCAATTACAACAAGCGAGTAGAGCATCATGCCGAAAAATTCATCACAATCTTGAAATCCCAGCGAGGTGCAGCAGTGAACTGTTCGAAACTAATGGATGACCTCATGTTTGACATGTACGCGACACCCTTGTTTCAAAGAGATAGTAACTGACCTGATTAGAACAATGGATCTAGGCTTTGGGAGTGACGCCGGCATGCAGGATGGTATGGGAGATGGGCAGTATATCCAGTTCCTCCACAAATACGCATGCACAGTCACGGTATGACTAAGTATCTCAGGAGTGCCCTTCGGATCGGATATTGACAGGCTGCTAGGTTCTCAGTGCCCTCCGTAACGCCGGGGAACTTCTATGCTACTTACCGGTGAGCGCCGAGGTGAAAGCGTTTCGAGAACGAGGCAAGCAAGTCGTCAATGATAGACAAAGATCAGAGGCAGTGAGAACAGACGTATTCCGTCATTTTCTTCACTGTGAACTCGACCCTGGAGTACAATTCTCGCAAACTGATCTTAACACAAATGCACTTTTAATACTGGGTGCTGGTACTGAAACAACATCTTCAACTGCATCGCAAATACTGCGTTTGCTGGCTGAAAATCCTTGCATCCAAAGCAAATTAAGGGCAGAACTGGATTCGCACTGCAGTATTGAAACGAAGTTGACGGTCGAAATGACGAGGAATTTGCCGTACCTGAACGCAGTCGTCAGCGAGGGGTTGCGGCTAGTGAACCCAGTTCCCTCAGGAGTCCCAGCTATCACACCACCCGACGGTGTTTATATAGGAGATGTTTACATTCCCGGGAATGTTGAAGTGCGGATCCCCTCACAGGTCTTGATGACCGATTCTCGTTATTTTCCACAAGGTGGGCAGTTTATACCTGAACGATGGACGGGAGAGATGCCGGAGCTCATCCTTGATCGCCGAGCATATATTCCCTTTGGCTATGGAGTACACTCCTGCATCGGCAGGCAGGTGGCCCTAAATGAAATGCGGCTTGTGGTTGGACGCGTGGTAAAGGAGTTTATAATCTCTCTTGGGGAGCTTTATGATGCCAAGCAATTTTCCTTACAGACGAAAGACTACCTCACGGTTCAGCTTGCATCACTACCACTAAAGTTCACGCCCAGGCCCAAGAACGCGGACAGTAACCGAGGGGGCGAGATCTACTCATAGTATTCTATGGTTGTATCTATAACTAATGTCATACATCCAACCACTCAGCCAAAAAGGCGTCCAGACAAACATCTCTAGCTAGTAGGGATAGTAGTTAGTAGGGGCAACACAGCAGGGACACAACAACTAATATATTTTACAGTTGCTTGTATTAGGTATACAATTACCTAAGCTCCACCTCCGCCTCATTTTACCCCTAAAGGCTAAATCTCACTAGATGATCCTCTGGAAAGGCCTGGTCGATCATCCTCATGGAGCAACAAAGATGGCGCCTAATCTTACTGCATCAACCTTGACATTAATCCATAATATCCCTGAAGGCTCTGAGTATTCGAACCATCGGGGTGCTCATCGCTCAAGGCCATCGGGAAGGCTTGTGTGGGAAGAATCAGGCTCCCTTCATGTTTGAGAGACGCTGGATTTGCAAACTGAAATGACTGTATGCCCACCTTGGCGTCATCGCCATTTAGGTACGTCGCAATTTCAGACTCGCGAGGCGGCCGGATTTCACGGGGTTTGTGGGAGCCAGCTTCAGGAGTACCAATAATCGTAGTATCCTCGGATGTGATATAATTTTCGTTACTGCGGTTATCTGAAAGAAGCTCTCTTCGGGTGGAGAGGAGTTGCTCTAGGGTAGACGCTTCACTGATAGTTAGCTGATCGTATCCCTCTCAGCCCTGTACGGAAATGTATGGACGAGGGCCCTCCAACCTTTCATACAATGAAGCCAAGGAAAGAAAGGATGTATTGAGTTGATTGTTCTCGAAGCGGTTGCAGATGTTCAAGGACTTGTTCTAGAAAAGGTATATTTCTTCCCCAGCATCCTGTTTTTCTTACCTATTTTAGCTAATGCAATACGAGCTATTAGAGTTGTGTGATTCGTTCGAACAACTAGGCTCGAAAACCGCGGATCTTTTTTATGCATATCGATTCCAAATAGCTTGTGATATCTCTAAAGTCATCTCAGGTTATCTACTCATTTATGATCTCAGTTATCTGGCTTATCTCCCACTGATCAGAACCAATGATGAGGCCAAATTCGGCCAATCTGCCTAACGCGTGCTTACAGTATATATACATTTATTGGTGACCTCACGCAGTCAAGATGGATAGTATGTGTATAGTTTGGCCGCAACAGGTCACCTGTCGCTGCGGTCTTACGCGTAAATGTGTTAGACTGTAGCGTCAGAGAGGGTTTGGGCCCTAGAAATCTAGGACCCGAACCTGGCGGGTTGGGTTCTAAAGATAGCGGAACCCGGCCCAACCCGCGAAAATAACAACCCTATAATTAAAATTAAAATTAAAGGTCCTACCATGGATTATTTACCTAAGGTCTATAATAGACCTACTGGGTTACAGTCCCTTAGAGACCATTACCATTAGGGACTATTAGTCATGTGACTTAACTACCCTCTGACCCTGTACCTGTAGTATGTCAGACTGTGCTGCCTTTCTTGTAAGCCTTGTCTAACCATTTCTTGTTGACTGCAGGTGTTCTGTAACAGATGTGTGGTGATCATTGATGGGTTAAGCAAGATCTTTAACAGGTTGGATATTTTAGTTTCAGGCAGTGCTGTGACTGCTGTCATCCATCCATCCATCTATTTATATTATATGATTGTTATATGCAACAATAGCAGATTGTGCAAAATGTTTGTCAGGGCTGACACCATCTCATTTGTCAAATATCTCCTGTTTATCACATTCACTAATCAGCATTTCAGGAGTCAGCAGCCTTCTTAGCCCCCCACTCATGCGCCAAAATGCCCATATGGATTAAATCCCACCATCTCCCACCTTTCCACACACACTGCCTCTTCCGTCCCTCAGATACAAACCCAAGCTTTTGGTACACCTTTTGTGCCCTCTCATTCCACTCAGAGACCGTCAGCTCAACGCGGTGCAGGCCCGCAGTCAGAAAAGACCAGTCCAGCATCCATGAGATAGCCTCAGACCCATATCCCTTGTCTTGGTACTGGCGCGCAATACTGATCCCTAACTCATGTGTGCGATTATGTGTGAAGCCAGGGGCTTGCTCTTTTAATGAGATCACGCCAATTGTCTCGGGCACCATATCGGAGCCCTCGTCCGGGATGATACATATCATGACTGACATGAACGCAACAGCAAGCGTTGCTCGCAACTCCTTCCGCTCCTTTGTGCTGAGCGGGCGTATGAGGGCGGTAGTGGCCATAGATCCGACTAAGGGGTCGGCGTAGAGACCTTGGAAGAATGCATCGTCTGCTGGGTTATCCTCTGGCGCACGATAAAGGAGACGCGCGGAGCGGTAGGGTTCCAATGGGAAGGGATCCATTGCGACCGTCTGGAGGAGCTGGTTGAAGGCTGTGGGGCAAGTAGTGGAGACTTGATATCTTGAAGGTCATTCAACAGAGCAAGGCAAGATTATATACAAGGGCAATTTCTCATCAGTGAGCTCTCGCGCTCAGATCTCCGGGGAGCTAGTTTATTAGTGAGTCATCAATAATACGAACAAGATCGCTAAGCCTATACGGAGTCAGCACTAGAATCAAGACGGCATTTGCAGGAGTGGTTCCGTCTCACATGCAAAACTTACCCGATTCGTTACGCGTTTGGTTGAGTCACGGGGACTGAGAAAATAGTACGGCGGACTGAATGTACAAACTGGCCAAAATAAATTTTTACAATGATTAGTACCTTCCGCCACACTACTACCAAAACTACCACACGCACCACTATGCCTATAGCCTATCTAGCATGCTTATAGAAACTAAGTTTGATTGAGATGGCGGTCCCGAATAGGCGGAAAACGAAGTCTAATGAGATCGATATTGAGGGACGCGTGGCCTGCGACTTATTGTGCATATTGACTGCTTTGGGCCAGTGCGCCTGGTAGTAACCATTGAATTCTAGTATGATTGCTAGGGAAGATGTAGAATAGATACTCGATTTTATCTCAACATCAGTGGTTATTCAGGTGAAAGACTAGCTATGACAGGATGTAAACTCATTCTTCAATAATACCCAGTGCAGTGATCCATTTCTAACACAATCATTTTAAGATATAATCTGTTATGATATCTAATGTTGAGTTCAATATTGAGATCATGAAGACAATTAACATATTCTTCCTATCAGCTACAATAAAGGTAGTAAGAGAACACGGCATAGATATCTAATTAATTAGCCTTATTCCCAAAACATCAGGCACTCCATCTCCCTCCACCACCCAGGCACTTATAATCTCATATACTGGCAGCTCTGTGAGTCGCGAAATGACATAATGTAGTATAGGTAGTTACTCCCAGTCCAGCAGGTCAATTTAGAAACTGGCCTTGGAGGAGGTCTATACCTTGTGTGGATTAGGGATAGGCATAGCCTCTAAGAAGGGATTAAAGGCTGCATACTCTTCAGCTGCCTTGTTCTTGTTTAATTGACCAGTCTATGGGAGATATTTATATACTAGGATCCCCGCATCAGCTTCTCCACTGAATCCTCCGGGGGTCGACACTGGGTTAACTTCAACCAGATCTTTAAGTAGGAAATGGCCCCAGAGAGCACCCTACCACCCTGTATAAATCTAATACAATTTTGCCCAGCGGTAGATGTCCACTAAACTATATAATTTAGGAGCGCCCAGCTCTTCTCTTCCCAACACTATGGGGTCAGTCAGTGACTTAAAGAGGATGGGCAGGTATAAGCCTTGGATGACAGTGCCATCCTTCTTGATATACTTAATACCATAGACATATAAACTAATGTAAGAATATCCTAAGCCACCTAACCACTCCATCTTGCTTAGGGTGGTCTGCAAGAAGGAGGCATATACCATAGTATTAGGAGCACTAAATCACCAGCCATAGCGACCCAGGGGAAAGAGGTTCTATAGTATAGTACAGGAGGTCTTGAACTTGATCAAGGCAGTAGTAAAGGTGGATTTAGTGCCATCCTAGGGGACACCTAAGTGGTTCTGGCACAGACCAGGCATAGGACCAAAGGCGAGGGGCATGCGCCAGTAGGGATTAGGGATGCATTTCTACATCCACTCACAGAGTCTCTATATCAAATTATCCCACTTATCATGACTAAAATTATAGTTGGTAAAGCTGTATACTAAGGCAATTAGTGTGCTATTTTTAATAAATAAAAGTGGAAGACTTACTGTCAGCAGTTTCCTATCCATCAACATAATCACAGCCGGCCAACCAAGAGTATTGTTGTATGCAGCTAGCGCATTCATGGCAAATCTCATTATACAACTACAGACACTCTGGTATTTCCTCAACAGTCATTCCAAGAGGCAGCACTACAGCCAGGGAAGCAGCATCTTCTATTATAACCCCTGCTCCCTGCCCTTAATATGGGAGAAAGGGGTGGGCAGCATCACCCAGCAGAGCTAAACACCCCTCATACCAACAGGGAATCTCCTCTATATCTAGCAACTTCCAAACCCAAACACTCTGCAGATCCACCATGCTTAGCAGCTTAGCACTGCAGAGTCAAACAAAGAGAAGATCTGGAGCATCTTCTGTAGATTACCTAACTAGCCCTAGCTCTCATCTACCTCTTCTGCCGACTCCTCTTCCGGGTGAATCAAGACAAAATTCAACACAGTATTATGCAATGTGGGATAGAGTATAATCCACTAATCAGTACCATACCAGATGGATAGCTATCCCAGATGCTTAACTAGAGCAGCAGTCTCAGGATCATGCAGCGCTGCTTACTTAGATATAAGGAAGCAAAACACACTTTTGCCATAGTCAGAAGCCTTAACATTTCCACCTATAATTATACTACAAGTAACGGAGTGGACTCCGTCAGCTCTAACCACCAGATCACCCTGGAACTAGGTCCCATCTTCAAGTGTGATGGTGGCTATTACTATGTCAACCTATACTACCTGACTGGCAGTTCAGAATAGGATAGCCTCACAGTCTATATCAGCGCTCATGGCTGCCCTTTTAAGTTGGTTATATAAATCAATGCAATAAGCTAGGAGCCATTACTAAAAGTAGTTAAATTGATACCCTTAAGACTACTTAGTAGTGGTACTCACATGCTACCATCTCTTGTTTTGCTCAGTAAGATTAATAGTTTATTCAATGTGGCCCAGTGAGGTATATTTAACAAGCTAAATAGTTAGATTTAGTAGGTAAAATTTTAATTAATAGCATAAAGCATACCCTCTCCATTAAGTTCATACTAAACTGCTGCGCATTAATACCCAATCACTTTAAGATTCCATTAGTATTTAGGGTAAGATGAAGTGCTGCACCCATCTTAATAGCTAGTCAAGATTGCTTAAAGACCTGCAATGGTCAACCATCTTTTACTATTATAGGCAGGTTAGATAACACACCTAGACATCATGGCCTTACCTACAAAGAGTAATTGCAGCAGCCAACCCACCAATCCCCCCTCCTATTACTAATACCTTCAAAGGAGATGGGCTGGTTGTCTGGTTTGTCACAACTATTCCATTAATAGCTGCCATGGTGTGAGATATTGACTGTAAGTAGAAGGAGAAACACAATGGGTAATAGGTAGCGCACTGCAATGATTACTGCAACTGAGGACCATTTGTACAAGTAAAGATCATTTTTATTCAAATAACTAAAAAAATAATACCAGGTGGGGTTAGCCTTCTGGCTTCCTCTCGCATCTCTTGTTGGCAAACAGATATATCCTTTGGGACCACTAGGTGAGGAGGTGGAGGGGCTATCATCCATCTAAACTCACCATATATGCATTCTCACATTGTTTAAGAGTCTAGAGAGAATATGGTCATCTGAAATTTTCACACAATCCATAAACTAACTAGTTGAATTCCTTTAGGAGGCAGGATGGTGGGAGATCCCTAGGACCTTGACCAAGCAGCAGCTATAAATAAGAGAATTATATATAGCCACATCACAGCTATTTAAAGATATGTTCAAAAGATACTTCTTAAATAGTAGTATCTTAATCCATCTACTAAGCACATTGAGTTGCAGAGTCTATTTTAAGTCTATATTCAAGATCATCATAGGGCCGGCAGGTTTACAGATAGTATTCTCATAAATAAGGTGTTAGAAGATAGTACCTCTATAGAATTATGGCATCCACATTCCTAGTGCAAATCCCTGTTATAAGGATATATAACTCTATTTAGAAACTGAAGTATCACCTAATGACCTGTACAGAAGCCTGGGTTATATATAGTCATATATATAGAAGCTTCACCAAGGATTAACTTAGAAATATAAAATAGATATAATTTAGTTTGGACATAGATTACTTCACTACAGTCTATTTATCTCTCTGAATCCATTCAAACTGATCACCAAGATAGTTATAAGCCTAAAGATTGCTAGATTGTGCATAACTCTTAAAGTTCTTAGCATATGCTGCTCTTCCACATAGCCATCCTAATTATCTGCTTACCTAATGGCTGGTGACTTCTTAATATGTTATGGTACAAAGATACTTTCCCACCTATAGACCTCCTGTATATCTCACAGCTTTCTTGGTGGGAAGAACATGGTTAGTACTAATGACCTAACTTAATTAGCTTAGAATATCTCCTATTTTACTCAAGGGCATACCTTATCACCATAGGAGATACAAGTCTTTTCTCTTAGGAATAAAGCACCATAAGCATTCATTTTCTTGAGGGCTTCTCATGGCTCTTTGGTAAGGATTTGGACATGCTCACTGGCATATTCATCTGCCAGTGTCTAAGGTTCATCTATCAAGCCCACAATGATCACCTCGCTGAACCATTCCCATGAGGTTCCCGCTAGTTTAGCAGTTAATAGGTTCTTCAATAGCTCAGTAATAATCCGCATCAATTCTCGCCCAACAGCCTCGGACGTGGTGATGATCACAGCAGGTGAATCAGGCCCATGCTTAGCCTGCAAGATAATGTCCATTGCCACCATAAAGGGATCGGCCGTCTCATCAGCCATAATAAGAATCTCTGTTGGTCCCGCAAAAAGATCAATCCCAATTTCGCTAAACAACTGCCTCTTCGCCTCGGTGATAAAGGCATTGCCAGGCCCCATGATGAAATCCCCCTTGGCCATGGTCTCAGTGCCCAGTGCCATGGCCGCAATGGCTTGCACTCCTCCAAGCAGATAGATTTCATCTGCACTAGCGAGATGCATAGCTGCAATGGTGGCATGAGGGATCTTGCCTGCGATAGGAGGAGTATAGCCAATGACCTTAGGGATGCTGGCTACTTTGGCTATGAGAATGGTCATATGGGCAGAGGCAAGGAGGGGGTATTGCCTATCTAGGATGTAGCTATTATTATCAGTCTAGATTCTATATTTTAGTCTTTCCAGAAGTGCCTACACTCTAACTGTCTGGATAGGTAGATTTTTCTATCTAAGAGACACGCCCCTTATTTATTAGTACAGCTTAAAAGGCACTGCTAGTCAGACTTACTAGCTGGATTTTATACTTAAAATCTTTAATTAAGTCACATTACATTTGTGTAAAGGCCCGCACATTCCTCTGGACCTGCTTAATATCCTTAATTATCTGTGCAGAGCAGGCCGCAATAGATGCCTTAATATCTTCTCAGGAGAGATTGAACAAGGCAGGGCAACCATTTATCAAACCTCTCTAAGTACTTGCACATTGCTGCGTCACCATTAGCACAAATGTTGTTGATCATGCCCTTGACAATGGTGCTAACATCGACTTAGGCTGCTGTCAAGTTAGACATGGTATCTGCGTGACTCTTGACAGATCTTATACTGCAGTGCTGGACCAGCCAGCTGCTGACCATAATTATCTATATTATGGAAGAATACCACACCATAGGCCTATAAAGTTAGACTAGCATAGTATAGTGCAATTGCTATAAAATCTTATAGAACTTGCAACAGAAGAGCTTTAATACCTTAAACAACCTGGCCCGCATGCTATATAGCATATCAGGAATATTCACTCTTAAACCAGTCACTAAGAGCAGGCTGATCCCAGGCGCAGCTAGCATCATCTAAGGTAGCCAGTATCTCAACCTCCTCTAGTAACATGTACATATACATCATAATAAAGTAAAGCTGCACTGGGGCTTTGTTATAGTATCCCAGCCAAAAACATTCAAGTATCCTGCTAAGCTGTCCATGCTAAGAGGCCATGAGCAGATCATTATCCCAGTAGTAGCTATATCCATTCAGAAGAGAGCTGCGGTACTCCTATATAAGGCCCCATATACAGTGTATAACAGCACCACAGGTAAGATGGATGTCCGCAACCTAATAACTAGTTTCTAGAAGATCTAAATTCACTACACATTCACTAAGCTTGCGAATTTGACCTGTAGAGGGCAGCAGAGATAAATGATAGGATTCCTTCCATTAAGACACAGAACTCACTTCCCAGAGATATAAAGGGGCAGGTAAGGGAGGGCCTATTTTAGCATAGGTAATTAAAGGGCTAGTAAAGAGAGCTATAGAGACTTAAGCTTCTAGTTAAAACAAGCAGTACATAAGCCTCTTATATGCTTCTTTATATACCCACGCACGCTATGTATCTTCTAAGCTCTAACCAGACTCTTCTAACCGCGCTGGTAGGGGCAGATAGGCTAAGTAGTGAAAATTACCACCATAACAAACTATAATTAGCAGAGGTTGGCGGAAGGCCTCTAAGATCTTAATTTTTTAGCTATTGCCACTCCACAGACTAATTTCTAGGTATAGTAAGTATGCTTGATGTAGGTGAAGGTCACAGATAGTAATGTTATTCCCCTTAAACACTAAAGGCAGCTATAACCAGACAACTTCCCTGCATGGCAAATCCTAGTTTACATAGCAAGGGATCAGGTGTCAAAACAGCCCCAGCTACTGCCATAGTAAGAAGCAGCTCTGGACACACCTATCAGGGTCAAAAAGTACCCTAATAGATCCAAGAGCTTGCGGCAGAGAATGGGGCGGTAAGGTAATATCTAATCAGGCTATCAAGAAGCTGAACTAACAGAAAGGATGACAGAACTGCCAAGATAGGTTATTTCACCTGGCTAAGAACAATGCCCAGGATCTTATCACGAGAGTGAAGATTGAGACTTTGGTCTATTATTAAATGGCTGTTTACATCTTCCAGACTCTGGGGAGTCAGGGTGGATGCGCCAGTCACTTTATTAGGTAGTAACAGGTTTTCATGCTTATAATAGCCATAGTCTTGAGGAGTAGGAATAAAGCACTATTATAGTTACTATATAGATCATGCGCCATAGAGATTACTCTATATTAGTATTTTATGGGTCTTATAGGGCAAACCAGACAGAGACAGACTAAGTGCTTGCTTGTCAAACTTAAATAGGATGTGGCTATTATATGATTTAAGGAAGCCAAGATTAACCATGCTAAAGTCTAGATCAGTCTGCAGGCTAAAAGTAATTAATCCCCAGGGTGTTCATACACCACTAGGCGCATCTATAAATAATATACTTATAAACTCATCCCTAAGCCCTGATGGAATGTAATCCAGTGGCATATAGCTGTTTCCATCCAACTTAATCAACTGCCAATGGTCCAGCTCTGGTGAGGCTAGGATCTCCATTAGAGGAGTGATAAGTAGCTGGAATCCCTTAGATAGTAGTATATCTATTTCACCTCTCCTTTCCTCTAAGTTATAGCTGCTATTTACTTCCACATTACTCAGACTATCTATATTAGTAAAGCAAACTTGAACGCCTTTAGTGGACTTAGAAGGAATAATATAGGTAATATTTCACCTGTAGCATTGGGCGCAGGGCTTTTCTTCATTATATTTAAGATGGTCTTCTACACAAGCACTGTATGTTTAAGAAGCCCAGATGATGGGATTCACACTGCTAGTATAAGGATGCTTCTCAAGGGCCTGCTTGCTCCCTGTGGTAGTATGCAGAGTAGAATGCCATTAGAGCAGATCTCTAGAGTAATATTAATTAGAGCAGTAAGGCAAGATAGTAAGGGAAACAGCACATTCTGCTAAAGTACTTACTACACACAGAGCATTGGTAAGGCTTTTCCTAGGTGTCTGCAATAGACTGTCAGCGCAACTAACTAATAATAGCCCAGTTAACTAGAAGCTGCAGTAACCTACACGAAAGAACATAGCAGCACAGATAATTAATCTATAAGTAAGACTAAGAGTATATTCCGCACTGATATAGGTTTCTATACACTAAGTTACCTTCTAGCACTAAATCTAGCTGTGACTATGGTATAATCATGGTGCCTAATACAGCTCCAAACGCAGAGAGCAATGGGTGGGATAATATAAAAGCACATTATTACTATATTAAGGGGGGCATACTCTTAGGAATTACTTCTACCTAACTTTAACTTTTCCCCCACATTAAATAGCAGGGATTAAATTATAATAACTAGTCACTATGAGTCTAGACTTTAACAGAGAAACCCCATAATTTCTATAAAGAAAGTCTAGGGAGTGCAGGGTATATCTATGACTACCTAGTATAATTAGCAGTTTAAATTAAGCTTACTATATTCAGCCTGATATCTAACCTATGTTGAGGAGAAAGACTTATGGCTCTCTGGGGGAACACAACCATGTCCTCTATATAATATCTAATTAGTATTATCTTAGAACTAAGGACTCCTTAATCTGTCCTAGAATCACTCTAATTCTACTAGTTTGAAATTTTACTCTACTAGGACATATTATGTAGATAAGGAGTAAACACCCCCTATATACCTTTATAGACTCTTTAGTGAGGCCATGATTATAATAACTACCTATATCAGGAGGCGCTGAAGCTGGTATCCAAGCTTAGGCAGGCCTGTAATGCCACCTAAGATTCTTGCAATCCTTTACCCCTTATACAGCAGACTGAATATATAAAGCAGCTAAAATAAATTTTTTACTATCACCTGCTTATATTACTTATAGCCACTACTTCCACAAAGATATGATTATAAAATAAATACTTAGTGACTATTGCTATATAGTAGGGATTCAAATCATCATATAGTAGGGATTCTAATCATTATATAGTAGGGATATCAAATGATTCAAATCATCATATAGTAGGGATATTGAATGATTCGAATCGTCATATAGTAGGGATATTGAATGATTTGAATCATCATATAGTAGGGATTCGAATCATCATATAGTAGGGATATGATCATCTCGGGGCAACTGAGAACTCTTTGCTAGAGCAGTCAATCAATCTTCAAGTGACTGTAGTCAATGCCGAATTTCCTGGAGAGGTAATTCCACTTTGGATTGAAGATTCGTATCCCCGAGGTCTGTTAGGATCAGGCAGTCTGGTGGTCTCTGATTAAAGGGCTCTATAACTGGACACTAAGCAGTGCCCACAGTATCGATATTTTCTATATTAGCTGAGCATGGCAATGGACTTTTATTATAATAAGAGCAGTGAAGAACAGATTGTGCACATGTACAAGGGCCACATAGAATATTGCGGTCGCAGCGCACCTTTTAATGGCGGCATTACTCACAGGATTGGGCTGGGCGTCTGCATTTCTGGGAACCGTCCTCAGTGGCCATGGCAAATCATTGTACGGAGGAGTTGTCAATAATACAGACAAAAGCACCAGCCAAGAGAGATCATGTCAATATTCACTGTCAGAGATGATCACCAAGTTTGGACCGGTATTTTGCGGAGGACAACTTCGGTCTTCAGCTTGATTTGGTGGAGAAATCCGTCTGTGGTCTTTGGCCTCCGGAATATCTCGGTCCGACATCCAGCCTACCTTAGGTATACCGGACGAGTGCACATCCAGCCATTGCCAGTCTACGGGAAGAACAAATTCCTCTTCAGAACTCCGGGAACGGGTAGTCCGAATGTTCCGTTGAGGGCGGGAAATCAACTTTCGTGATCAAGGGAGCTGGTCTTTGTCAACTGGAGAACTGACATTCTCCGCGCGACAACCCCTTCCCCAGCTCCCCAGCTCCACACGCGTAGTGGGCATCTCAAAGTTATCTCTTGAACCGGCTCAGGTTACATCTGCGTCCACGGCGTTATTCGGGCAGGTACGAATAAAGGAGTATTTGGCCGGGAATTCTTGAGCGAAGGAATCTTTTTGTCCCGTCTCAACAGCTCGACTAACCAGGGCGAAGACAGCGCCAATGGCCGGTAATGGGAAGGGCGATCCGAACAACGCTGGTCCTAAGTCTCGGAAAAAAGAGGGAGGCAATCAAAGTTGTTGGAAGGTCTGCTCACATAGATTTATATGCGTTCAATCTGCTCCAGGGGAGTTCAATGGAAATGAAGAGCCAGTTAGGCCCAACCGAGCCGGAATCTTCGGAAATATATACTTGAGGAGAACCTTAGGTATCGGAGTATTGACACTTGCACTTTGAAACCGGATAGGATGAGCAATTGATGATCTCCAGATTCAAAATGCGTAAGCCTGCTTATTTATCTCTGGCAGCAGACCATACTAAGAGTTAGCCAAGCAGAAATAAATCGTCAAGTGCTCTTCGGCCGACCGAGCCCGAGCTCTATCTCGGTCTTCATCCTCGGGACCGAGGCCGATGCCGAGCTTGGCTCGGCCTATCCAACAGGTAAGCTTGGTATAAATCCCAGACTTTGGACAGGATATCGAAATGACTAACACGAGACTTGTATTGGCGCTCTATTCATACATAGAGCCTGAGCCAAGATTATGTCCTCTGTACGCGAGAGTTCCAAGGAAGAATCCATCGTTCAGCCTCCAAAGGCCCTCGAGCCCGCGCCTTTTCCGGACGGCGGAGCACGAGCCTGGATGGTGGCCCTGGGAGCTGGGGGCGTGCTCTTTCGTACTTTTGGATATGTCAATGCTTTTGGGTTTGTTCTCTCTGGACCTCTCTGGACCTTGTATTTGATATGCTAACCACATGTCTAGTGTTTATCAGGATTACTACATCACGCATTAACTGAGCAACTACAGTGCTGCAGACATCGCCTGGATTGGGTCTGTTCAGATGTTTTTCCTCTTCGGATCCGGTCTTGTTGGCGGTCCCCTATTTGATCGCTATGGAGCCAAAGTGAGCCATCCCTGAGATATATAATCCGGTTGACTTGCTAACCAACGACAGGTCATCTGGGCCCCCGCGGTGCTGGTCATCTTCAGCGTCATGATGACCAGCCTCTGCACGAAATTCTACCAATTCTTCCTAGCTCAAGGAATCCTCGGCGGTATTAGCATGGGCTTGTCGCTCGCCCCCGCACTCTCCTCCACAGCGCAGTATTTTCAGAAGAGGCGCGCCGCTGCAATGGGCATCACCATCGCCGGGTCATCCCTCGGCGGCGTGATCTTCCCCATCGCCCTAGAGCAGATGCTCTACTCCTCATTAGGCTTTGCATGGGCCGTCCGCATCATCGGCTTTGTCATTCTCGGGGTCATGTCCTTCGCAGTCTTGGGGATCCGCGCACGCCTCCCACCCAAGAAACAAAGGTTCCTCAAACTCGAGGCCTTCAAGAAAACCCACTACGTCGCCACTCTGACCGCGGTTTTCTTCCTGAACGTCGGCATCTTCACCCCCTTCTTCTACCTCCCGTTATACGGCGAATTCCATGGCATGAGCACCAGCCTGGCCTTCTACCTCCTCGCGATCCAAAACGCATCCTCCTTCTTCGGCCGCTTAGTCCCGGGCATCATCGCAGACAAAATCGGGCCCTACAACATGCTGTCGACCGTAAGCATCATCACCGCCATCATCACTTTCTGCTGGATCCGCATGACCACCAACGCGAGCATCATCGTCTTTTCCGTGCTCTACGGCTTCTTCTCCGGCGGTATCATCGGTATCACCCCCGCCGCGATTGCCAACTGTGCCGGGCATCCTCAGGAAATCGGCACTTACATTGGAATGGGTATGGCTGTTATGTCGGTTGCCACTCTTATTGGCCCACCTATTAACGGCGCGCTGCTTAATGACTACAGTGGCTTCCTCCAGGTTCAGATCTTTAGTGCGGCTGTGATGATGTCCGGGGGTGTTCTGGCCTTTGTTGCGAAGATGGTGGGTGGCAAGAAAGCTTTGGCTAAGGGATAAGGATAAGCTGGATTAATTAATGATTGTTTCTTGTCTAATCAGGTTGAAAGATGGGACCTGCTTGTTCGGCCAGAGATATATGTATATAAATATATATATATATATATATCCCATCTGGAGAATACCCAAAATAAACTAGGTAACTGCGTCAAATCACTTGACGACCGTGATAAAACCCACAGTGTATTGTGAACAACTTTTTTTTGCAAGGGCTATTTTGCGTTTCGTACAAGCTTCGTTTCACCATGTCTGGCAACCGGAAAGTCGGCATTCAAAGGCTGAAAGTCTTGGCGTCAAGCTAGGTAGTGACATCAACCATCCATAGTTCGGATGATGAAATGGCGCGGTATTTACTTTAACTCCGGTTACAGATGAACATGATAATACTTATCACCCCACCAGCAGGGTGCATCATTGAATTCTCCCCATATCCTTCTCCCCTGAGTCAGTCCCGTCATCAAAATGTCAGTGGATTTCGAGAACGACGTTCTTCTTCTCACTTGTGCGAGTGGCAAGCAATGCTCTCGGTTGATTCCTCTCCTCTACAATCAATGGAAGCACCTGCGGCTCGTCGTCAACACTGTGTCTTCCGAAGAGTCTCTGAAGACGCAGTGGCCAAATGCGACAGTTATGCGAGCTGATATGTCCCGTATCGAAGATGCACGGCGCTTATTGTCTGGCGTTACGACCGTGCTCTATATTGGACCGTCTGCTCACTGCCATGAAACTGAAATGGGCTATACGATGATAGACGCTGCGCGACAGGAATCCCAAACTGGTACTCTAAAGCACTTCATCTACTCCTCCGTTCTCCATCCACAAATTCGCAAGTTGATGAATCATGATTGCAAGCGTTACGTGGAAGAATACCTGATTGAATCTTGGCTCAACTATACCATTCTTCAGCCGAGTCATATTTTAGATCAGTTTCCGGTGGAGCAATTGCTGCAATCAGAAGACCCAGTGTTCCCTGCCAGCTTTGATCCACAGGTAACATTCTCCTTTACCGTACTACAGGATCTAGCGGAAGCATTCGCACACATCATCAACGAGAGAGAGAAGCATTACCTGGCTGAGTACACGGCTTGTTCCACTGCACCGACCTCGTATGCCGATTTAGTTGCAATGCTGAGCAAGGAGATCGGCAAGCCCATTCGGATCATACGAAAGGAGTTCTTCGAATCCGCGGCCCAGTTTCAAAACATGCTGGCTGGAAAGTACGGAGACGTTCCACCGGGTACTCGCGACACAATACATCGACTGCTACTTTACTACAATTTTTACGGGATCAAAGGCAACCCGAACGTGCTGGGGTGGTTGATTGGGCGGACGCCAACAACTGCAAAGGAATTTTTACGTCAGAAAATCCTTAAGGTCCATAACTCTTAAAGATGGTTTAACAGAGGCATTATCAGAATGTTAGAGGTAGAATCATGGTGCCCCGGCGATTTCTACACTGAAATAACTAGAAGAAACATCGAGATACCACAAGCATTCGACATGACTCGACCATGGGCATTAATTTTCCTATATGTAGTTCCGCTGTAAAGTAAAAGATATAAAATACAGTTCAGGTAGCTTAAATGCCATTTGTGTCTCCGATGACTACTTAAGTCCGATATACGAAACCATTGCAGTTCCAAAGCCCCACGTGGCAACAAGAATGGCTCAGCAGTGCCCCGCTCTAAGTATCTCTTACCCACTACTCCTAGTAGTGAACAATTACAATTACTGTTTCAAAATTACATATTTTTCTGTAATATATTTATATATATATACACATCTCCAAAGCTCCGATTCCCGATATCACCGTCAGCTTCAAATAATCCGCCCGTGATCATAGCCTGAACCCACGCCGTGATGAGTTTTCCCTACAAGCATGTCCTTCTTATCGGAGCTACCTCTGGCATTGGATATGCCATGGCGAATAAAATGCTCGAACATAACATTCAAGTGACCGCTGTGGGCCGCCGCCAGGAACGCTTGGACGCATGGTTGCAAGAACATGGTACCGAAAAAGCCCATGCTAAGGTCTTCGACATCAGTAATCTTGACGCCATTCCGCAGTTTGTGGCGGAGTAAGTGACTGGACTTTCATTCTCGATATGTCTTTTCCCTTTCTAAACCAGCGAAACCATCAAACAGGGTAACCGCCCAGTCCCCCGATATCGACTGCGTCTTCATAAATGCTGGCTTCCAGCTTCCGAGCGATTTTTCGTCCCCGCAGACCGTTGACTTGGCTGCGTATCATCAAATCATGCATGTCAACTATACCGCTGCGGTGACTCTGGCCACAGCCTTTCTCCCTTTTCTATCAGGGAAGACAACTGCGACAAGTCTGATCTTGTGACGTGCCCCCTAATGATCCTATTGTAGACACAAAACTAATAGGGCGCCACAGCACCGTATCTAATCTCGCGGTTGTGCCTGCGGTCTCCATGCCCGGTTATTGCGCATCCAAGGCGGCTTTGAATACATTCGCCATGTGTCTCCGAGTTCAATTGAGAGAGGCCAAGTCAAATGTCAATGTGATTGAACTCTTTCCTCCGGCTGTTCAAAGTAGGTCGTAGGCTTTTCATTACCCTTTTTCCTTCCACGACTCTACAGCGACAAATCATGAGATGCTAATGAACATGTATAGCGGAGCTACATGACTACATGGGAGCCGAAAAGGGCCGCAAACTTGGAATGCCCTTGAAGGAATTCACGGAGAAAGCCTGGGACGGACTAGCCAATGGGGCTGATGAGGTCTATGTTGGGTGTATTCCGCCGGAAGATCGCTTTCTCACCATTGCTCGGCAACGCCGTTCTGCCTGTGAAGACTTGGCTCATTCTATGCGAAAGATGATGCACTAGATCGATCTCACTTTCAGAGAGATTTATGCACACTGCAATGTCATAATTGGGCTTATACAAGGGTCAAGTTAAGATCTTGGAGTGCTGAGTAGGTTGAGTAGTCATCATTAACCATATGATATATTGATCTAGTCAGGAACATTACATGTGATTGGCTTTTGAATTCAAATATTATACAACTCCAACAACTTATTTTTATTTTCTGGTCCAACATTATGCCGGGTTCCCTTTCAGATTTTGCCACTCCTTGCAAGCAATCAAGAAATGGCGCACTTGGCTCTCCAGAATGCTACCGAACAACCAACTCAGCGGCAATAAGTACATGATCTTTGTTAAGAATGCAAACAGCCATCAAAGCACAGTCATCAAGTAGTAGGTGTACACCACATCAACCCAACTCCAGAGATAGGGTGCATACTCCACCCTTCGACCTGGGCCAAACCCTCGTTATACAATCTTGTTCAAGTTGACCTTGATGTCTGTCCTTGAACGGTATAGTCTCCATTCGGTGCAGAAGGCCTGGTCGTCATAGACGCTAAGGCTTTTAGTTCGATTCCCTATAATTCTCTGGGCAGTCCGTCCGTTTCCAATGTTGTCTTACTACTGCGAGCCTAAAGCACTTTTAGGGGTAAGAATGCTTAGTATTCGCAATGAGTTTCACCCAAACCACATGATAGCAAGGGACTATCAATGAGCCCCCATAGACTTTTATTAACATACACAAACGCCGTTGAAGAAAAAAAGGCCGCAAACATCAGATACCTTATCTCTGCAAATGCATCATTTGGGAATCACAACCCTCCTGCCCGGTAATCGGACTGGTTGGCGGTTATTGCGAAGTCTGCCCATGATTATTGCTTTGGGCACCGGCACTATTTAATGAAGCAAACAGCAGTCAGAGCCTAGTTCAACAAAACGGTCATAACTGAGGAAACCAAACGGCGACTTACTGGTAGATCTTTTTGCAGACAAAGTAAGTGGCCGTTCCGACAAGGGCGACTTTGACCAGACCCCCAATGCCGCCAGCGCGACGGTTGAGACCTCGCACGTAGTTCTGGCGAAAGAACTGACGGCCTCGACCAGCGAAAGAGGGGGCCGGGTTGCAGTAGGTGCAAGGTGAATGCATTTGGGCTCTTGCTGTGACGCTGTTGGAAAGGATTTTTCTGGAGTAGGGGAGTGCAGTAGTAGTGAGAAGAGGAGAGGCGAGAGAACTGTACGGAGTGAGCAATATATCCTAGCTTCGGGGATATTGAGCACGCCCGGCCCCGAGGCCAGGGTCGAGCCCGAGCTGTCCTTCCATCCTACGGTATCCGGCTGGCAGCTGAATGACGTGAATCGCATCTATGCATATCTCAGTCGCATATCATCGAAGCAGCCTAAAGGGCCATTCCCATTTCGGGGCATTTTTGTGCATGCCAAGACTGGTGATCTTCCAGTAGGGATGATACGGATGGTACATCATGGCATATTTAATCGACCCGGGCTGGAGATCTTCGGCTGAAAGCTCGATCTCCTCTTCATCCCCACCAAGTAGATGCAATGTGTTAAAAGCTTGGACTGACCATTCGATCAACTGCCTTGTCGCTACTGCCTCGCCTATACAAGACAGTCATCATGCAAGACCAGCTCGTTGGCCCACGGCCTCTACATATCTATCACCGATCCAACCATGGAGGCTTAGAGATTCTCGACTCCGACAAGCAAACTCGCCTTTACAATGTCTACCGTTCCAGTTCCAAGCCACACATGGCCATATCCCGCCCAGCACCTGGGATTCCGGAGCAAATCATCGGCTATGCATCGTTCCATCATTTCAAATCCGAGATCGAAGTTTCCCTCACGGCGCAGGACATTTCCATGAAGATATGTGGATTCTTGTCTAGCTCCTACAATGTGATTCTTAAGGATATGCAGTGGACCTGGAAACGAGACGGCGCAATGACAAGTAACCTCAGGCTCGTCGATCAGAGGGACCAGTCCCTGGCAACGTTTGATAATGCCTCGTGGTCGATCAAGAAGCTGGGTACGCTAGCAATCTGGGGAGAGCCACCACTGCATGTACTCGACGCTATCATTGTATCGGGTTTGGGAAGGATTGAATATCAGAGGAGGGGGCAAAAGAACCATACAGGGGCGATTCTTGCTCAGTCCAGTTGATGAATCAAAAGTTGTGGATGCATCTCAATATATTCTCTCTTCTCGTCTTGTACGTACTCAACATCCTAATGGAATCTAGTCCATCTCGGTCCTTCTTACCGGTGTGGTCACGTTCCATGGTCGCGCAGACGAAGTCAGAATCGAATTGAGATAATAATTATCTATTTCTATTGTAGAGTAGTCCCTTAAGTGGTATCTTGGGGATCCTAATCTTACTATATAGCTTAGAAACTAGGGCATTTCTATTAGCTTACAAATAGGGTTATTAGATAAATTAGTTTTAGATATAATATTGTAGTCTTTCTAAAATCTAACTATAATTAGAATACTTAATAATGTTGAAGCCATGGACCTCTAAAGTACAGATATACGTCACCATATTATAGTATGTAAATTAGACTTAACCTGGCTGCATACATGTGGATAAAGTAGCTTGTATACTAGAGGCAGTGATGGCCTAATAATAGTTTCGATGGGACAGGACCAGAGTGCTGCTTAGTGAAAGATGGTGATCATTTGCCTTATCGCCCGTGCTAAGATGATGTAGTCCGAGCATCCTAAAGTGGCTCTCATATAAGGCAGGCTGCGTATTCTGGTCTCGATAGGAGTTTTCTTTCTCTGCTGCTTTTGAGGGCTGAAAGATTCTAATACTTAAAATAATCTTTGCCCCAGAGCTGCTATTATAAAGTAAGAGGGCACTGCCTTAGGGTTTAGAGAATAACTGGTCTGGCCAAAACGTTTTGGCAATAGATTTCTGGACTGTCTCTCTGTATTGTGTTGCGTGTCCAATTTTTTGTGTTGGATAACAAGACTGCCTTTCCGTAATCATATGTCAAAGGTAGAAACAGAGTACTATTAGATATTATACTACTACTAATTATCTTTATCAAAAGTAGTGTCTATTCCACCTAGAGTTGCATTTGGTGTGAGTTCAGGCAAGTTCAAAACCAGTTGGCACCGAACCACTGCAATTTTGAGTTCAAATTTTAGAACCCGCAGGCCGCAGCCAACCCGGATCCAATCTGGGTTGGTGGCGGTTTCACCGCAAAAACCCGCCACTAGGCCTAGCTAGGCCTAGCTAGGCCCCTACTAACTAACCATGGTTAGATTCAGTTCGATTTCAAGTTGGTTAAACCGCTACCCCTTGGTGAAATTTGATGGTTTTTGAATTTCAAAATTATTTAATGCCATACTATCTATCATACTACCTACTACCCCTATTAAAAATTAATATTTTTATATGAAATATATCATAATTATTATTAAAATAATCTATATCTAAAATTTTAATTCAATATCTATAGGGCTGAATGGGGGGTGGTTAAAAAATCATTTTTAAACCATAGTGGTTGTCAACCATTAGTTATATATATATTTATATCACTAGATAGCCTAGATCAGGGGCTATCTAGTGATATCAAAAATATTAGTGAAATACTAGAAATTAGTAATTTCTATCTAAAATGGATTAGGTGGTTTCACCTAATCTGCAAAAACCACAGAAATTAAAACTGACAGTTTTCACCAAACCCAAATCAGGCCCAGGGTAGGGAACCTGAACCTGAAGTAATTCCCTAGGCTAGGCCCCAAGCCCAACCCACTGCGGGTTTGGTGAGGGTTGGATTCGATTTTTGCGGTTCGGTTATGCAACTCTAATTCCACCTAGACAAATAAGGGAAGTGTTTCAGAGAATTAAATATCTGTGTTCAAGTTATGAGTTAACTTATAGCTATTTGGCTGGGCATGAAATTTGCGTATGAGAGGAGTGTGGGAGAGACAATATAATAAGTGTATGGGTACAGTAGTAGTACATAGTCGTCTACACATAACATTGAAATCGGAGAACGAACTGATATCTGTTGTCAACTTGTCAGCTGACACTCAGAAGCTGTACAGCGGACTATATCTACAATGTGGAATTTTGGTATTTTTACAAAGATTACATACTACTATTCTTATATATATATTTTTGAAAATGTATAGTATACATAGTAGCTATCCCCCTATCTTTCTATATATAAATATAAATTCTAAACATATAGGGTATAACCTTAGTATATAAGGATTTAATATTAATATATATAATACTATAGTATCAATAACCCTACTAGGTGATGATTCGATATTGATACTATGGTATTGAATTGATATCTTGACTAGGTGATGCTTCGATATTGAATACTATGGTATTGAATCAATATCTATACTAGGTGATGATTCGATATTGAATACTATGGTATCGAATCGATATCCATACTAGATGATGGTTCAATATTAATACTATGGTATTAATATCCTTAGTATATATAATATGCTGCTATCTGTGGAGGTAGTGGCAATATGTAATACATGCAGTGAACAGTAAAAAACTCCAAAAGTCCACATTGTAGCTATAGTCCGCTGTAAGCTGGCTGGTAAGCTGCGCTAAGGCCCGACTAGTGAGGTGACCTAGACTAGACTGGCTGTGGGGTGGATATGGGTTGATCCATAAGGGGTTCAACCCAACCTATATAGATTTAGGGAAACCTATAACCTTAGTTATCTACCTTCTAATCTATATAGGTTGGATTATAGGTAACCTCTTTTACTTATAAGTAGTATATAATTTTAAACTATACTATTTTTAGTAGGCAGAATAATCTCCTATTAAGAGAATATTATAGATATTATAGATAAACTATAACCTAAAAATCTATTAATCTTATTACTAATATATATTAATAGCCTATTAACTCCTATACTACTATACTATAATTACTACTATACTAGTTTCTACTACTATAGTAAATATTAGGGCTTCTTAGTATAAATCCTATTACTATTAATATAATCTAAAAGGTATTTACTTTATATATAAAAATTTTATTATAATATATAACTTAATTAATATACTATAATCTCTTATTAAGAGATTATTATATATAAGCTGCTTAGGAGTTATAAACTTATAAGTTATAAGTATAATTATATAAGCTAGTAGATTAGTATTTCTTTAAATACTAAGGCCTAGTAGTATAGGGTAGAAATAGAAGAATCTATACCTTATTAGAAACTAAGTAGTTTAGTATTAAATATATATACTTTTTCTAGTAAATTTATTACTTATATAAATAATATAGTTCCCTATAGTATTTTATAGTCTAGATAATACCTAAATATCCCTAGGAACTTAATAAGTAGGATATATCTAGTCTACTTATAGAGATATTACTAAAGGATAGAAAAAATACACTACTCTTTATACTTATATAATAATAATAATTAGTCTAGTAGTATAAACTTAATTTTTACTATTTAGAAGGCTTATATTTAATCTATTAATAACTTCTTTTTATCTACTTATTTAATAAAAAATAATTTTTAATTTAATATTCTACCTAAATAATATAATTAATATACCTTAAAAGAAGAAAGTATTATACTATATAAGGATAGCTTTCCTCTAGATTATATAAATTCTAGATAATATATAGATAAAAATATTATATTTTACTGTTATTAAGAGATAATAAAGATATATATAAATAATATATATAAATAGCCTAATAATATAATACCTTTATAAACTAGAGCTATTCTAAATTAAAATAATATAAACTAATAAAGACTATATTAAGAATCTCTTAATAAAAGATCTAAATTACTTAATATATTTTATATAAAGAATATAGTATACTTAGTATATAAAATATTTATAGCAGCATCTAATAATAGTATCTATATAAAACTCTTAATAAGAGAATACTTACTAAGTAACTATATTATATTATAGTTATATAACTTATTAAATATTAAACTTTCTTTATTTATTTACCTATTATCCTATTTAAATTAATTAAGTATAATATAAAGAAAAGCTAATTCTATTTAAGAATATTTACTATTAAATATTACTAATAGAAAGATTATATAATAATAGTATTAAATTATTAATAAGAATATTTCTTAGCCTTATAGAACCTCTTCTTCTTTATATTCTTTAATTTTATAAAATTATAATTTTTTTAATCTCTTAATTAATTATAATATTTAATTATTATATTCCCTTTTTTCTTATTACTAAGTTCTCTTATTACTAGAATCTTATTTAATCTCTTATTAAGAGAATTAAATCATTAATATACTACCTAAGAAGAAGAAGGGAAAGGGAAAGACTACTATATAAATATTAAATTTATTAGTTTTAGAAGTAGAGATTAATAAAGATAAGATTATAAGAAAGTTAGATAAGTACTTCTTAGGTATAATTATTTTTAATATTTACTATCTAAACCTAGTCTAGAAGAAGAGTAGTAATAAGAGTCTAAATTAGAAATATATAGAGTATCTAAAGGAAGAGTTTATAACTAATATTTATAGATATATAATTAAGGATAGACTATAGGTAATACTAAGTAAAGATAATTTTAATATCTATTTAAAGTAGATTTTCTAATAATATAATAATAATAAAGATCTAACTACTATAAAGCTTAAGGACCTATAGAAGTAGTCTAAACTATAGACTATAGAACTTTTAAAGATTAAATATAAAGTTCTTAATATATCTTTACTAATTCTATAGACTAAATAGTATTACTAAGAGGCCCTCCTTAGCCTATACTATAATATTACTAATATAGCCCTCTAGGGTAATATTAATTAAAATAAGAACTTTATTAAAGTACTAAATAGTAGAGTAAGTAATCTCTTAATAAAAGATTTTAGATTAAGTTAGAGCTAACTTAGAATAGGAATTTTTATAGATTTATAATATTTAGGATAAAGATTCCCTTAATAAAGGCTGCCTCTAGAGACTCTAGATAAATAGAGAGATTATATATAAGATAAATACTAATAGTAAGTTAATATATACTATTATTAATACTATTAATAGTCTCCCCTTTAATTATAAAGTATATAAGCTCTAACTAAAGTTCTTTAAAAAATAGGCTAGCCTTATTTTTAGTATTAATAAAGAAAATATACCTTAGCTACTATCTCTTCTCTAATATTTAAAG